TTATCTCATGAGAAGCAGGAAGTGAGATTAGCCCAGCTTTCCGCGGCATGGAAAAGACCAGATAAGCCAAGAAACGTATCAGTAGAGGAGAGAGAGAGGTCTGTAGCAAGAACTTCAACATAGCACTGTATTTAAAAGAATACCAGAGCAGGGTTATCCACGGGTATGATCATTTCTTATACATTAGCATCATGGTGGTGTCTCTTGCATGACTAATGAGGCAGCGCCTGGACGTTCAAAGAGTTTCTTCCTCTTACTATAGGAGAATTCTTATCATAGACATCATCCACGCTGGCGATTCGCCTCAGTTACAGCCACTGGTGTAGCTGCCTTCTGCAAGCATGTAGTGGAGTCAGGGTAAGGTGCTATTGGCTGCAATTTGCACTGGTGCTACTTGCCCTGATTTCAAAAGAGGGATAAGCCCCATGGGGCAGATCCTCGTTTGGGGTAAATTGACATAGCTTCATTGATGGCAATGAGCTTCAATGGAGCTGTGACCATTTAAACTAGCTGAGTATCTGCCCCCATCAGTCAAATAGCAGCTTGCACTGATGAAGTTACACTGGTGGCTGAAATCAAAGCAAACCCTAAACGTAGACAAGGCTTAAGACAGAACAATCAGCTACAAGCTTTACTCAATGGTTTGCAGGCATCAGCGACGTTCTGGACAAACCTGATCCAGGGTTTTGACTTCCTGCCCTCCATAGGATTTGGAATGTCACTGCAAATATGTTGCCCAGCTCAAAAGCCACCAGAAAGTTTTAATTCTGCAACCAACCACCTCTTCCATTCGCCTACTGTTCTCTCTCTTACCTTAAGGATTTCTTGAGCTATCTGCCTGGTTTTGTTAATATCCAAAGATACCTTGGGATCCCTTACAAATGAGTGAAGCGTCCTTCCTTTGCAAAAGCTACAAAAAGAGGGGAGGAGAATGGGGAAGGGGGGAGAGAAAGAGGAGACAATGTGGTGAAAAATGCAAGTTCCTAAACATTTACCCGTCCTTCCTTTGGGGGAAAAAAATACATCTAGACTTGAAAGTTCTCGATCTGTCAGTTTCATATGATGTTGATGGCAGGGTTTTATAACACAGGCCCCTCCCCCACAAAAGACAGTATCTAGAAAATATAAATGGGCCTGATCCCCATTTACAATAGGCCCCTTTACGCTACTTTGGCAGTGCCTTGAAGTGAGCAATTACACTCACTTTCGGGCCTCTTTGCAACTTCTGGAGCAGTGTAAATGAAAACCAGGCCTAAACTAAGCATGTACTGTACACAAATCACTAAAAACCATGGGAGGAAGAGAAAGGTAACCTCTTTTTCTGTTTCCTGCTTTGCGAAGTCTTCCCTACGTTTGGTTAGAAGCAGAACGAAACGGACAGCTCATGAGACAGCATTTTGTAAACAGATCAGGTCCATGTACTGACTCTTAGAACATTTATATCTTCTCCCATCCAGGGAGCACATTCTTGAAAATGGAGAAATTATACACTTCTTTTCCAAACGCAAAAGGCCAGACTGTGGTAGCCGGACCTGCTTTAAAAATAGTCCTTTGCACTTTACACCTTTCGGCCAGCGGAGATGTCAAAGAGTGACTAGGCTTCAAGCTTGGACAACCCCTAGTCCTTCCCACGCGTGGAGGAGTCACTTTGGCAGGGCAGGGCTGGAACCATATGCTACTACTGCCCTTGCTTTACCTGTCTGTGGAGAGGTGACATCGGTCTCCATTGCTCCCAACCCAGAGCCTTACCCATTACATCTGCTTTCTGAGCCCTATGAAAATCATAGCAGTGAAATTTTATGTCCTCACCTGGTAATAATGGCTAAATGAGGGGGGTGCATGCACGCCCCCATGAAGAGCACCACGTTCTCGTGTCGGGTCTGCCTGTAATTCATCACCTCCTTCTTAAAGAGCTTGAGATGGTCCTGATTGTTCCCATCAATCTCCAACAGCCTGATCGCCACCTCTCCGTGCCACTTCCCCCGGTAAACCTTCCCCCATCGCCCTTGGCCGATGAGCTCCCCCAACTCAATCTGTTCAAAGGGAATGTCCCACTCCTGCAAGTAGACGCTGGTCTGGCTGGCCTTGCGGGAGATCATCCCTTTCCAGTGTGGCCGCTTGCTGGGCAAGTCGTCTAACTCGTCCTCATCGTCCTCCGGTTCCGATTTATTCGGTTCTTGCTCTTCCACCTGGTTGCGTATCGGAAAGGTGTGGATGGGTGGGGAGAACAACAACAGTTACACTGGAGTCCCACCTGGTGGCTAGTCACTGACCTCTTATCCCAATCTGTATTTGTATTCCTCCAGCCGACCAACCCCAAAGCGGATTAATGATGGGAGAACCTCAAAGGGTTCAGCTTGTGGGTTTGACCTAAGTACCCAGAAATTGAGAGGCTGATCTTAACCTCTCAAAGCTGTAAAGTCCAGCTAGGAAGGCTGCAAGAACAACCTCTCTCATGGCATCTCCCCACTTCTGGCTGGAGCTAGAGGGCTCAAGCCCATGTGGTGCTGGGTATTTGGAACTAAACATGGACTTTTGCGGGAGTTGTAGGTGCTCAGCACCTCTCAGGATTTGACCCGAATTCTGCAAATGAAAAAGAAAAAGATGATTTCCAAAAACTTCAAGACCAGGTTCCATGTGAGTTTGAAGCGAGATTCTCATTTTGGGCCAGATCTAAAGCGCAGGGAAGTCAATTGAAGGACTCTCATTGAAGACCATGGTCACTGGATTAAAGCCTGTAACAAAACTGGTTTGCCCAGCACTACAGCAATCCACTTTTACTTCCCGATCCAGCAAAGCACTTAAGCAGGTGTTTAAGCAGAGGAGCCGTCCCAGTGAAGTCTATGGGACTCCTCTCTTGCTTAAAGTTAAGCATGTGCTTTGCTGGGTTGGAACCATGAGCTAATCTGACAGTTTATAGCCGGGGGGGGGGCAACCTGAGCCTGAGAAGGAGCCAGAATTTACCAATGTACATTGCCAAAGAGCCACAGTAATGTATCAGCAGCCCCCCCACCCCCATCAGCTGCCCCCCCCCCGCCGGTTCCTAGCTCCTCCCACCCACCGGCAGCCCCGCCAATCAGTGCCTCCTGCTCCCTCTTAACACCTCCCAATCACCTGTTTCGTGGCATGCAGGAGGCTGGGGGGTGGGGGGAAGAGAAGGGGGAGGAGCAAGGGGATGGCAGACTCAGGGGATGGGGTGGGAAGGCATGGAGAGGGCCTGTGGCAGAGCCAAGGGTTGAGCAGTGAGCACCCCCCCCCCGGCACACTGGAAAGTTGTGGCCTGTAGCTCCAGCCCCGGAGTCGGTGCCTATACAAGGAGCCGCATATTAACGTCTGAAGAGCCGCATGTGGCATGAACAATGGGCTACTAAAGGAGATATTTTGTAGCCCAGAACTCCATTACAATAG